AGATCGAGTCCCCTGGTTTGGAATCAAGAGGGTTTGGATTCTTCAAAAGCCTAGCTATGTCCCAATTCAGGGGCTGCATCCTTCAGAGGCAGCATTTGAAGGCCGACTGCGCCACTGTGGCATGACTAGGCTGTCCCATTTCAAAGGCTCTTGCATATGTGGTCGAGAAATGTGTCCTTCTTTTCCATGGCAACGAAGGATCCAGTGGATGTGGTCTGAAGAAAAAAACTTAAACTGACATGCAGACGCTGGCAGTAAAGCATCTCCAGCTCTAATAAAAGAAAAAATGAAAATAAATAAATAAAATAAAAGTTTCTGCCTCAGCTGTGATGCAAACAGGAAATCCACCGTAGAGCAGACCGCGTCATTTCGATTCAGCCTTCGTGGGTCTACGCAGCCTTCGAAGGATGCAGCCCCTGAACATACTTCTATGAAAAACATGACTGCAAATTGCCAGAGGGCGCCTGTGAGCGAGTCCTCAATGAATGGCAGTAAATTGAGCTAAACAGCTAAAAACGAAAAGTTAAAATAGTTTCTAATCACTCGCCCAGAACTTTAATTTCAGAAAGTAGAAGAATGTGTTTCACTAAAAAGTAAAGAAAACTTACCTGCACATTTCCATTTTTCTACAGCAAACAGGTTTTGGGCTGCAGGATGCTAACATTACTGCTACTGAGTGCTGATTAGTTAGCATTACTGCTGCTGAGTGCTGATTGGTTGGCATGACTGCTACTGAGTGCTGATTGGCTGGCATTACTGCTACTGAGTGCTGATTTTTTAGCATTACTGCTACTGAGTGCTGATTAGTTAGCATTACTGCTGCTGAGTGCTGATTGGTTGGCGTGACTGCTACTGAGTGCTGATTGGCTGGCATTACTGCTACTGAGTGCTGATTGGTTAGCATTAAAATGACTTTAAAATGATTATTTCAGGCTTTTTAGGGCAATTTGCAGGAGCACAAGCTCACCATATTTTGGTGTACTTTTATGTTTGTCTGTAATTTTTATTTTTCTCCTGACTCTGTAATGTTACATCTTTCAGTTTTAACACAAAGTATTACATAGTGCAGCTTAAAGGACATGTTATGATCCTGGGGATGTATGGTGTTTGTTTTGTGCTCTGTCTTTCTCGTAATCACTTTTACCCTAGGGTTGGTGTCTGGAGGGATCTGGTTGGGTACAGCAGTGGGTGCTCCAGTTACTTATGGGCTGGTGAGGCATTGCAGAAGAGGAGGGCTATTCCAGTGGTCATCAGCCTCCATCTGACCAGACCAAGCACCCGAGGCTTTGTTTGTGAACTGTGTTAGCCTGTTTGGGACAGAAAGGTAGGTTTACAATTGTAATTTTGTTTTGTGTTAGATGAGTTTAGTTATCATTAGGTTTCTAGTTTGTTTTTGGCACTGGCTCACCTCCTGAAGGTTTCTCTTCGATAAGCTCACATGCACTTGACCAGTTTAAAGCTAGATTTACTGGCTAAGTGCCTTTTTTATTTTCAAGATGGTGCCTTTAACTTGTACAAGTTAAAAGAAAATAAATGCTGATAATTGGTCCATTATATGTAGTTGGTGTTATCGTGGTCTGGCAGTTGGATGGTGTTGGCTTAGTTTTATTATGTACGGCCTTAATTCACCTCTGGACATTTGATGTCGTAACAGACAATAAAAGTTAATCATCACCCAAACCACTAAGAAAGCTGGCAAGCTCCCCTCTAGTGCTGAAATTATAATAAAAAACAGAAAGTAAAAATACAAACTTTTGGTTTATTATTTTGTAGCAGTTGCAGTTAAATTACCCTTAAACACTCTCCACACCGCTGATATGGCTGTATACACAGAAATCTCACAGAACGTTTATGGAACCATTGTTTAATCAGTTTATGCTAACAACCTTAGGACACGAGATAGCAGTGAAAGTTTTGCTGACAATTAGAGACTTGGCAGTTTTGGAAAATACACGGTCATGCGTCTTATCCTGAGTCCTTGGCAGATTTTGGTCTTGTGCCTAATGTGTCAAGGCGCTTCACCACTCCTTGACCAATTATGACATAGATCTGACCTCTGCCTCGCTTTCATACACCGATACTCTATCAATGTGACTTCAATCAGCTACACATAGAACCATGAACCCTTAAAACAATTTGCATGCTCAGATGGTTCTTTGCATGGTGAAACGGTTCTTGCTATATATATAGAATGTGCTATATATGGTTCTGTGTAGAGCCTTGTTTTTGAAAAGGGTTCTGTATAGCACCAAAAAGTGTTCTTCCATTGTTACAGTCAAGCTTGTATACAATAGAATAGCGGAGCGAGAGACTGGCGCTGTACTCTCAGGGTTTCATAAAGACATTTTCTCCACTAACGGTCATTCTCAGGGTGAAGTGTGTGAGGGTGGAATGATCTTCAGGTCTGAAAACAGACGGTAAGGCTGTGGCTGTTCCTGCAGTGAACCACAGCTTCATCAGTCAATGCTACACAAGATAACAACAAGCCACATGTTATTTTTGGATGGCTGTGGCAGCAAAACCAATAGAAAAAGTTGTTTACAGCGCATGAAGCATTACAATGTCCGTGTCACTGGCTTCTCTGTCCACACAGCACATCTGTTCAGGAGCTAAAGACACAACTGGAATGAAACAGAACATTACTGAGGAAGATTTTAATAACGTCCCCCTGGCAAAGTATGGGTACCGTGTGCCAGTCTTGTATGATTTAACTGCGTGGAATCACATTTCACAATAAAAGCCATTTAAGTCCTTGTCAAAAGAGATTACTGCATTTTCAATTAGCAAAAATTAAAGTTGTTTTATTGCATGTGAATTTTGAATCTTTGATCATTTCATGTCCAACAACAGAATTAAGTATTGTAATTCTGCCACAGAAGTTGTTTTGATCATTTTCGTAATTTTACCCATATGAAAAAAATATATGGACATGTATTTTTATATATTTGAAATACACTGAAAATGTATTTCAGAATATATTTCCATAAAATACATTTATTTTAAAATGTATGTGGAAAATTTTACACACAGAAATGTAACATACAAAAATAATTGTATGTAAATGTGTTTATTAATTCCATTTGAAAATGTGTGAAAATATCTAAAATCCTGTCTGATGCACTTCACTGTCTGATACCTTTAGAAATGAATTTGTGTTCCAGCATCTTAATTTTAAATATGATCAAATGATCCTTTAACATGACAGAAGCGAGTGTAGTAGGTATTGATAATCTGTGAAAATGCAGTTATGATTTAATGTCTTGTTTATTTGAAATACACTGTGTTTTACTGCATATGTACATGGCTAGAACACTGTAGTCAGTACTGTTCATTCAGTTCATGTTTATTATGTCTGTAAGCTTTGTTAAAACTACATACAATTGAAAAAATATAATAACAAATTTAAATAAATGCAAAATTAAAAATATATTTAACATAAATTTTTTGGCCAATTTCATACATTGCAAAAATATATTTGATAAATTCAATGATTCTGAGAATCTGGAGAAATCTCTGTATGTAAGGGACAAGGCCAGTATTTGCTGGCCGTGATCTTTGGGCCCTGAGGCAGCACTGCATTAAAAACAGACAGGAGTGTGTAGTGGAAATCACTGCATGGGCTCAGAAACACTTCTGAAAAACACTGTTTGTGAAAACAGTTCATCACTGCATCCACAAATGCAAGTTAAAAATCTAAAATGCAAAGAACTAACCATATAAACAGGATCCAGAAATGCTGCCACCTTCTCTGGGCCCAAGCTCATTTAAAATGGACTGAGGGGAAGTGGAAAAGTGTCCTGTGGTCCGACAAATCAAATTTTTAAATTCTTTTTGGAAATCATGGACACTGTGTCCTTCAGGCTAAAGACCACTCAGCTTGTTATCAGTGCACAGTTCAAAAGCCAGTATTCATGATGGTGTAGGAGGGCATTAGTGCACATGGCATGGGTGACGTGCACATCTGTGAAGGCAGCATTAATGCTGAACGAAATATACATGTTTTGGCAACATATGCTGCCTTTTTTCAGGGAAGGCCTTGATTATTTCAACAAGACGATGCCAAACCACATTCTGCGTGTATTACAGCAGCATTGCTCTGTATTAAAAGGACTGCAGTCCAGACGTGTCACCGCTGATAACATTTAGCACATAATGAAATGAAAAATATGACAAAGGAGACCCCGAACTGATGAGCAGCTGAAATCCTGTATCAAACAAGAATGGAAAACATTTCACTTTCTAAACTACAGCAGTGTCTCCTCAGTTCCCACCACTTACAGAGTGTTGTTAAAGAAGAGGTGATGAAACACAGTGGTAAACAGGCCCCCGTCCCAACTTTTTTGGAACGTGTTGCTTGCATCAAATTCAAAATGGGCAATATTCTTCAAAAAACAATCAAATGTCTTTCATCTGATATATAATTAAGTGTTAACATCTGATATGTTGTCTTTGTAGTATTTTCTTTTAAAAATATGGTTTACATGATTTGCACATCATTGCATTCTATTTTTATTTACATTCTGCACAGCGTCCCAACTTTTTTGGAAATTGGGTTACATATTTTACTTGAAATGACTGGTTTTAGATCAAATAGATATATGTACACTTTTAAAAAATGATGGTTCCTCAAGGGTTCTTTAGCAAGGAAAATGGGTCTATATAGAACCCTTTAATTATGCAGAAGGTTCTTTTGGTGTCCATGGTTTTATATAGAACCATTTTCTTTACTAAAGAACCCTTGAAGAATCATTTTTTCTGTGTGCAGTGTTGATGTGGAAACAACTTTTTTTTGGTAATGGTTGAGGTGGAATTTGGGTGCGAACATAAGAAAATAGTTGCATTCCTAACAAAAAAAATCAAATTTTCGATTTGCTCAGTAAATGCAGAGCTTCCATCTACAATCATGAAATGTTTGAGAAAATAGTTTTACGCTGTTAAGGGAAGACGCTCGCTTACAGACACAAAACACTGAGACACACAGAGACTTGGTTCAGTCGCTGTTAAGATTCAAGATTCGAGATTCTTTATTGTCATTGCACAGGGTACAGCGAAATTGGGCAGTGACACTTTCAGGAATGAGTGGTCAATAAAACACATGAGAACCATCTGATTTCCTGGTTTATGAATTGTTTGGGCTTGACTTTGGTTCAGGCTGTGCAGGTGAGGAGCTCAGTCCTCTGTGTGCTGTTTGTAGTCCTTGTGGTTAGAAGCCCTAAATGAAAGGATGAGTGCCACAGAGTTTTATACTGATCAAATAAATAAATAAATAAATAAATAAATAAATAAATAAAACTACACATATTCTTAGCATCTCTTAACTCACTGGTCAAAAACAATTATTTTCCAGTTCCTGTTGAAGCTCATAATGGTGTTCATATCTTCTTTACTCAGCTTAAAATCAAAGACCTGCATCAAAAAGGAAACAGCAATATTCACAGCACGATCTGGTCCACGTTCCTTTTGTATATAAAGATTTACATGCAGTAACATACAGTACACAATCCAGTAAGATCACCTGGAAATCTTCTTTGATTCTTTCCGGATTGACGGATTTGGGAATAACTGCAACATTCCTCTCAATGTGGAACCGGATCAGGATCTGTTGATAAAGCGTATCATGACCCTCTTAGCGCGTAACGTAAACCGTCTTTCTACACTCATGATGATGTCATAACGACACACACAGGTACCTGCGCTGCTGTTTTCTTATATTTATCAGCGATGGCTCTGATCTTCGGGTCCTCCAGGAGGGACGGGTCACCTGGCTTTGCCCTGTTAAAAGAGATCGATCAGTAGAGTTAATGGGTTCCGTTCAGTTCTGCAGTGATGGGTGGGTTCATTGATTACACAAAGGGGAATTCCACTGTTTTTTCAAAATTTCAGCATAATTAGATTGTTTAGATGTAAACAAAGTCAGTCAGAGTGGTTTGATATAAAATGGTTTATTGTAGGCAAACTTACTGAGTCAGATTTCTTTACAGTGGCGGTGATAGGAACCAAATGTCACAAGACAAATACACACACACACACACACACACACACACACACACATTTTCTAAGCCACTTATCCTTCTGGGTCACAGAGGAGAAGGCACGAAACAACCTGGACAGGTTGCCAGTTCATCACACAGACATATACATTCACACACATTCACACCTAGGGGCAATTTAACGTGTCCAATTGGCCTGATTGCATGTCTTTGGACTATTGGAGGAAACGGGAGCACCCAGAGGGAACCCACACAGACATGGGGAGAACGTGCAAACTCCACACGGAATGGACCCTGGTTGCACAAGACAAATATAAAATATATAAAAATATAAAATTACCAGTGAACCTATACGTATCTTCTGAGTTTTTATATTGAATGTTGATGTGGTTATTTATGCCATACAACACCTTAAATTTGTACCAATCTCTCTGCCATGAATGGACATTTTAGGCCAAAAACTAATCTTACAATGTCTTCATCATCAGGCAACATATTCAGAACCATTTCATGTAATAACTTACTGTAAGCTTTTAGAGGCATTAATGTCTTCAGACGTCTGGTTCCTATCACCACTAATTTAAAACGGTAAGTTTCTTTAGAAAGGAGCATCTGAATGACTTTGTTTACGCCTTAACAATTGAATTATAAAGAAATTTGGAAAAATCTGTTTAAGGACAAATAGGGAATCTGGAATTTGGTGGTTTCTGGTAAAAGTTTTATTTGCCCACCATGGTCTGTCAGGGCACCCCAGAGGGCTGTACGCAGTCACTGTGATGCCCTTAGAGTGACAGAAGTTGATCAGCTTCTCCTGCGTCAGGTAGGGATGGCACTCAATCTGGAGTAGGAGATAAAAACATCAGCTGTTTTCTACTGGAGAAACACTAAGCCGTCTTTAGCTCATTAAAAATGATTACTGAAGGGTGGAACTGTGCATTGTGGAAAATAGGCTTTTGATTAATTAGGCTATATAATGCGACTGCATTGTTTAAACAACAGTGAAAACTGATCAACACCTCCTTCAGCTCCCCTCCTGCCTCCCAACTCTAGTGTTGCTAGTAAGCATTATTATAGTCATAATTTGTCTTCACTGCATGTGAGGAAACAGAATTATGAGCTTGGTTTTGTGAATCAAATCAAATTGCAGGCTCAACTATTATTGAATTATAAAGTAAGAAATACAGATTGTAAAATGCTACCTGGTGGTTGGCAGGCTTGTACTTCAGGCCTGGCTTGTTCAGGATGGCTTCAATCTGGCTTTGGGCGAAGTTGGAGATGCCGATGGCCTTGACCAGCCCAGCGTCCACCAGCTTCTCCATTTCCTTTATGATAAAATTGAAAACATTTATATGATACAAATTCACATCTTTAAGCGTTGATAAATGGATAATTTAGTAACAGAAAACAATGCAAAAATCTTCTTGGGTGACAAATGCAGGACTGTAGGTGCAGCTTTTTAGGTGAAAATACTGTTGTTGCACAGAAATTCACCAGAACACAGTGGTGTACATTTGACAACGTGTTTCATTATGCAAAAACAGCTGAGCTGGCAAAACGTAAAACTGGCATTTCACTGAATTGCTAGTCTGTATATTTTTTCCATCTTTCCGCAATGAAACTTGACGAATATCCAAATAGTTATTACAATATTTGAACGCTGGCACCTTGAACAGTTAACTGAATACTTGAGTACACATGCACATCCCTAACACATATGTATGCGTTCATTTAAAGAGGCTGTGGTGAGGTTCTTACCTGTTCCAGAACAGTCTATGTACATGTACTGAACTTTCAGGTTTATAACTGTGTAATTACCTCCCATGTCTCCAGAAAGGTGCTGTTATCTGGAATCACTTTACCCTCAGCATCAAGAGGAAGAAAAGATTCTCCAGGCTGCAGATTCAAATCCAGCAATCAGGACTTGTGCACATGTAATGCTTTTCACATGTTGTACATTATAAATGTTTATTGATTAATATTACCTTAAAGCCCATAGCGTTATGCATCAGGTAGAGATCCAGATAGTCCAGCTTTAGGTCACTCAGGGTTTTCTCACAGGCTCCTCTAACCAGAGATCTCTCATGAAATGTGCTCCATAGCTGAAAAGATAAACATGTAAAATGTTCCCTCTGTTTGTACTGGACTGTGAGTAGTGTGACTCATCAGCCAGTGATCACTCATGTTAAGGTCTTTATATAGCAGTAAAAATTCTGCAAGGTGTCAATGACTCTGCAGTTTGCTTATCTGCAATGGCGAAGTGTAAACTGCCATAGCCGAATATGTTTTTCTCATATTTCTCAACTCATGTGTGGAAGAGGGGGTTGGGGCTGGACAGGCAGGAAAAACATTGTGTAAGTAAACACCATGCATTTTGTGTAAATACCTTGATTCTCATTGTTTCTGTCGTTGTAGTGTTTCCCCCCTTTCCCATTTTCTCTTACAATCCACTATTCTCCAGTTCTCTATGTGATCTACTGCACTCACTGCAACCAAATCACAGCTATGTTGTTATTCATGCTAACACAAAACCCACACCACTCACCCCTGCACCAGCCCTACTGCCCATCCCCATACCCCTACCAATGAACCAGTCCTGTCTCCCCATCCCCATACCCCTACCAATGAACCAGCCCTGACTCCCCATCCCCATACCCCTACCAATGAACCAGCCCTGTCTTCCCATCCCCATACCCCTACCAATGAGCCAGTCCTGTCTCCCCATCCCCATACCCCTACCAATGAACCAGTCCTGTCTTCCCATCCCCATACCCCTACCAATGAACCAGCCCTGTCTTCCCATCCCCATACCCCTACCAATGAACCAGTCCTGTCTTCCCATCCCCATACCCCTACCAATGAACCAGTCCTGTCTCCCCATCCCCATACCCCTACCAATGAACGAGTTCTGTCTCCCCATCCCCATACCCCTACCAATGAACCAGTCCTGTCTCCCCATCCCCATACCTCTACCAATGAACCAGCCCTGTCTTCCCATCCCCATACCCCTACCAATGAACCAGTCCTGTCTTCCCATCCCCATACCCCTACCAATGAACCAGTCCTGTCTCCCCATCCCCATACCCCTACCAATGAACGAGTTCTGTCTCCCCATCCCCATACCCCTACCAATGAACCAGTCCTGTCTCCCCATCCCCATACCCCTACCAATGAACCAGCCCTGTCTCCCCATCCCCATACCCCTACCAATGAACCAGCCCTGTCTCCCCATCCCCATACCCCAACTAATGACCAGCCTGTCTCCCTGTCCCCATAACTCTACCAGTGAACCAGCCTTCATCCCAACTGAAGAAAAAGGTGAGTAGCATTATGTTGTATGACATGTGTCTTGGCATAATTGCAGGGCGTTTGTGGGATTTTTTTTTTTTTGTTAAAAGTTATTACGTTGGTGTCATGTGTAATGGTGGGGTGGGGAGAAGATGTGAAGTTTTGTTCCAACAGTGACTATAAACACACACTATTGTTGGTAAAAAAAAACTGTAGTTATCAAAAAGCAGATTGCAAAAAAACGTAAGAGGTAAAATCTAATGACAGCATTGGTTCTGCCCACCTTGCTGACAATGAAAAGCTCCTCTCTTTTTACCACTCCTTGGTCAATCATGGCACGGACGCCGGCCCCAACCTCCTTCTCATTCTGATAGACATAAGCTCCATCAAAGTGACGGTAACCAGCCTGGATGGCCACCTTTACGGCTTCTGTGACCTGTCCTGGGGTGGACTGGGGAGAAACATCACTGACACTTTAACACTGTGAGCCATTTAGTTCTAAACTACCATTAGTTTAATGTTGTCTGTGCTCTCAAATACTGAATCCAACTGAACAACCACCAAAGTCCTGATTGCATTTGCATGAGCTAAATTGAGGGAACTATAAAGGCCATGAGGTTCCAAGATTAGTTCTGAGTTACAGTGACTTAAATGCATGTAGCTGGTAATGAGTGACTGAGAATAATGGAATACACAGGTTCCACTTAACAAATGAAAAATGGGTATAAAGGAGAGTCAGAGAAAATTTCAGAGAACAACTCCAAGCACATTTCATTTGTTACTGTAAAAGTACTCTCAAGCAAAAGCAGGCCGTGTTTCAGCAGCGCAATAATTACAATTTTAAAGTCTCTTACCTTCCATGTCCCCAGACCTAAAATGGGCATCCGTGCTCCAGTATTGAGAGTGAGAGCAGATGCCATGATGGAACAATGTTTGTTTGTTTTCTTTTTTACCTAGACGTACTAGATAGTGAAGTGGCTTTCAGCAGGAGTTTCTCTGCTTTTAACACTGTGGCAGCTCCCCAGATAAAAGGCCAGTGTCAAGATTTGATTGGTCATGTATAGAGTCCACCCATTAGCTGCTGGAGCTTGGAGCCAAGTGGGTAGAGTTAGCAGCCAGTCCAGCCCCAAAAGATTCCAGCCGCAATAAAATGCAATCAAAATGTAGAACTCCAGTTCTGTGCAGGAGCCAATGGCATCACATCTGGCAACTAGCTGTCAAAATAAAAAAATAAAAAAAAAATTATGCTGAATCATGTTCATTTTTCCATTGCCTAATGCATCAAATCAGTGTTGGTGTCAGAGTTGATAATTCTGTGTTAGAATGCATTTTGGGTTACTGTCTGCAGCTAAAAATGAATATAAACAGCTTGAGACAATCTTACGATGACTTTGTGTTGTTTTTTATCGTCTGTGTTACATTACGTGCATCAAAGGCAACTTTTTGTGTAAATTTCAAATATGGATGGAATTAGAAATGCATAGGACACATTTTAAATGATGCTGAAAGTGGACACCCCCCCCCCACCCCCCAGTTGCAGCCCAGTACTGCCCTGTAGTGCTTGAAGTGGCAGTCAGTTCTCAAAGTATTAGATCTCTCACCTACTCACCTACTGCTTGACCACCACTAAGACAAAAGGTGAAGAGCAGCATTGTAAAACCATAAATAGTAATAAATAAGAAAAATGAGAACTGTAAATTTCCCATTTTGGAGATATGAGGTTTTGATATATATATATATATATATATATATCACTGCGGTCAGACCAAAAACCTTGTATCTCCAAAATGAGAACTTTACAGGAGAAGGAAAAAACATGCTTTACTTTTAATGTATGTCAATGGAACCAGACTTTTTTCCAAGTGATTTTGGGCCGTTTCTTTTGGTCCTTTCCTCTTGAAATTTACACACAATATAAAGGACAGTAGGTTTTTCCAAATTATGTCAAAAACTGAAAAACAAAAATGGAGATACAAGGTTTTGCTCCGATGGCATAATGTTCACATTCAACATATTTCACATTGAACACAATGAACAAATGAAGAAGTTTTATTTTTGGACAGTTTACACTCATATTCTGATTCACCTGCATCATTTATGACAGAAAAATGGCAAAATGTACAAGCGCACAGTTAGCTTTTAAAACATTACTCTATTGAACATTTTATTAAACATCCCACTTAATCACACACATTGTAATCTAACTATTGCAGTTGCTCTGTGACGGATCTGATCACTTTAATAAATGACTATTAAATAGTTTAAATAAATATATAAATGATGCATATATGTCATCTTCTGTCTTAGCCTTCACCTCCCCAACAAGCAGCTGCACGCCACTCTGGGAGGGGGAATTTATTTTATTTATTTTATTCACAAAGAGAACCTTCAGATATAAGTAGCAGACATAAGGCTGTATACAGTACACCTGCAGTGATCCTCCATTGCTCTACAGCTTCATTCAGTTTCTTTCAGAAAGATAAAAATGTCAAATAAAACACAACATGACTTCTTAAAGGTTCCGATGTAATATATACAGGTAACATATACAGGTTCCAGTGTTTTACAGATATATATATTATTGTGTCCTACCTCAGTCATCCCGCCCTCTTGTTACTGTGCACTCTTTTCACCTGGTCAATATGCTAATATTCTATATTTTATGTAATTTTGACTAATCTGACTGTTTTCTGTCCTCATTAGAGCAGGTTGACCAGGTCAGTGGAGAGATAACAACAAGTGATCTGCACTGAACAAAAGCAGAACTTACCAGCTTTTAGTCTTTGCTGCTCTGAAAGCTTAAATATTGTCACTTTTCATCATCACTTAATATGACAGAATATTATTTTATGAGTGAGCTAAGCTAAAAAAACAAACTGCATTTGCATATTTTGTATTTTACCCTATTTTACCATATTTTATTTTATGGTTCTTCAAGGGTTCTTTAGTAAAGAAAATGGTTCTATGTAGAACCAGGAACACTCAAAGCACCCTCTGCATGATTATATACGTTATATAGTTATATAGTTATATACTGTTAAGGGACGACACTCGCTTAACAGACACAAAACACTGAGAGAAGTTTCACACTGAGACTTGGTCCAGTCTTTGGTAAGAAATGACAGTTTCAGGAATGAGTGGTCAATAAAACAGAATGAGTAACAACTGATTTTCTGGTTTATGAATTGTTTTGGTTTGACTTCAGGTCAGTGTGTGCAGGTGAGGAGCTCAGTACTCTGCGTTCAGTGGGTAGTCCTTGTGGTTAGATGTCCTAAATGAAAGGATAACAGAGCCGCAGAGTTTCAAACTGATCATAAACAAACAAACAAACAAACAAATACATAAATAAATAAGCTACACATATTCTCAGTATTTTTGTAACTCACCACTCCCTTAAGGTTATTCTCCAGTTCCTGTTGAAGCTCATAATGGTGTTCATATCTTCTGTACTCAGCTTAAAATCAAAGACCTGCATCAAAAAAGAAAACAGCAATATAATAATATGTTCCTTCGTTATGAGGAGATTTACATGCAGTAACATACAGTACACAATCCAGTAAGATCACCTGGAAGTTTTCTTTGATTCTTTCCGGATTGATGGATTTGGGAATAACTGCAACATTCCTCTCAATGTGGAACCGGATCAGGATCTGTTGATAAAGCATATCATGACACGACCCTCTCAGCGTGTAACATAAACCGCCTTTCTACACACATGATGATGTCATAACGACACACACAGGTACCTGTGCTGCTGTTTTCTTATATTTATCAGCGATGGCTCTGATCTTTGGGTCCTCCAGGAGGGACGGTTCACCTGGCTTTGCCCTGTAAGAAGAGATCGATCAGTAGAGTTAATGGGTTCCGTTCAGTTCTGCCGTGATGGGTGGGTTCATTGATTACGCAAAGGGGATTTTTTGCATAATTAGATGGTTTAGATGTAAACAAAGTCAGTCAGAGTGGTTTGATAGAAAATGGTTCATTGTAGAGAAACTTACTGAGTCAGATTTCTTTACAGTCCATTTTTCTTGTTTTTCAGTTTTTTTAAATTATTTGAAAATGCCTGTTGCCTTTTATGTGTAAATTACATGATGAATGGACCAAGAGAAACGGCTAAAAATGACATGGAAAAAAGTCTGGTTCCATTGACTTACATTAAAAGTAAAGTATGTTTTTTCCTTCTCCTGTAAAGTTATTTTGGAGATACAAGGTTTTCTTCTGACAACAGTGATATAAAATTACCAGTGGACCAACAAATGTCTTGAGTGGTTTTATATGGAATGTTGATGATGGTGATTTATGCCGTACAACACCTTAAATTTATGCCAGTCTGTCCTCCATGAATGGGTTTTAAAAATATATTTTAGGCCAAAGTCTTATCTTACAATGTCTTCGCCTTCAGGCAACATATTCATAACCATTTCATTTAATAACTTACTGTAAGCTTTTAGAGGCATTAAACTCTTCAGATGTCTGGTTCCTATCACCACCATTATGACTGATTTAAAGCCTTCAGGAAGAAGTATTTCAGAATGACTCTGAATTACTTTGTTTACACTTTAACAATTAAATTATGAAGAAATTTTTAAAAAATCAGTGGAATTCCCCTTTAAGAACAAAAGGCTAATCTGGTGGTATCTGGTAAAAGTTTTATTTGCCCACCATGGTCTGTCAGGGGACCCCAGAGGGCTGTACGCAGTCACTGTGATGCCCTTAGAGTGACAGAAGTTGATCAGCTTCTCCTGCGTCAGATAAGGATGGCACTCAATCTGGAGTAGGAGATAAAAACATCAGCTGTTTTCTACTGGAAAAACACAAGACCTTCATCTGCTCTTTAAATAATGATTATTGAATCGGAACGTAACTGCATCATGGAGAATGGACTTTCGATTAATTAGGCTACCTAATGTGATTGCATTGTTTAAACAACGATCAGCACCAATGAACACCTCCAGCTCCAGCTCTCCTCCTGCCTCCTAATTCTCGTGTTGCTTCAAATTATTGTGAGAATACAGGATTGTGAATATAATCAAACTGCAGACTGAGTGTATCATTACTTCCCTATTACTGAATGATAAAGTAAGAAGTACAGATTGGAAAATGCTACCTGGTGGTTGGCAGGCTTGTACTTCAGGCCTGGCTTGTTCAGGATGGCTTCAATCTGGCTTCGGTTGAAGTTGGAGATGCCGATGGCCTTGACCAGCCCAGCGTCCACCAGCTTCTCCATTTCCTTTATGATAAAACTGAAAACATTAGAATGATCCAAATTCACAGAACTCTCCAATGGGCATTCTGACTAATTTTGATATTCAAGTATCTTTAAGGGTGAATTTGCAAGTTCAGACCGTGCGTTCAACATGGCGATGGTAGTATGAGGGAAGACTGATTGAGGGAGGGGGAGAACTCTGAGGACTTGGGCTGGAGTTCTGGGCAGCTTCTGCCTATAGCTAGAAAGCCAGATCATAGCTGTAGCAAGACTGATGTAGGACTGAGGAACAGGGAGGAGATCGGGTGACGGTGGGGATTGTGAACACTTCGTCACGGGAACGGAAGGTGAGGATGTGAATTTATTGGCTAATAGATTGGGAAAAGGCGGGGTTTCAGGCATGTTCCTTCCCCCAAACTTTGGTTATACCATTACTACTTTAAATGGATAATCAGTTAACTGCCGGAAGGAAAAACACAAGACCAAAAACCTCTTGGGTGAAAAATGCAGGACTGTAGGTGCAGCTTTTTAGGTGAAAATACTGGTGTTGCACAGAAATTCACCAGAACACAGTGGTGTACATTTGACAACGTGTTTTATTATTCAAAAACAGCCGAGAGTCGGTGGACAACATGCCAACATGTTTGCCAGATAAATATATTTTCATTGTTTCTGGACCTAGCTAACATCAGGGATCAATAAATTTGACATGCACAAGTACACATGCGCATCCCTAACATATGCGTATGCATTGATTTAATGAGGCAATGGTGAGGTTCTTACCTGTTCCATAACAATCTATATAGATGTACTAAAAATTTCAGGTTTATAACTCTTTAATTACCTCCCATGTCTCCAGAAAGGTGCTGTTATCTGGAATGACTTTGCCCTCAGCATCAAGAGGAAAGAGGGATTCTCCAGGCTGTAGATTCAAATTCAGCAATCAGGAGTTGTGCACATGTAATGCTTTTCACATGGTGCACATTATAAATGTTTATTGATTAATATTACCTTAAAGCCCATAGGGTTATGCATCAGGTAGAGATCCAGATAGTCCAGCTTTAGGTCACTCAGGGTTTTCTCACAGGCTCCTCTAACCAGAGATCTCTCATGAAATGTGCTCCATAGCTGAAAAGATAAACAGGTAAAATGTTCCCTCTGTTTGTACTGGATTGTGATTAGTGTGACTCATCAGCCAGTGATCACTCATGTTAAGGTCTTTATATAGCAGTAAAAATTCTGCAAGGTGTCAATGACTCTGCAGTTCGCTTATCTGCAATGGCGAAGTGTAAACTTCCATAGCCAAATATGTTTTATGACTCATATGTGGAAGGGGGTTGGGGCTGGACAGGCAGGAAAAACATTGTGTAAGTAAACAACATCTACTGCACTCACTGCAACCAAATCACAGCTATGTTGTTATTCATGGTAACACAAAACGCACACCACTCACCCCTGCACCCCACTGCACCCCCCCCCCAACGTTTCTGCATTTAAGATTGTTATGTAATGACTGGCATGGCTGCTTATTTATCAAGATTACCTGGTTCTCAGTGTAATCAAAATTAAAGAAAAGAAAAAAAGAACAGAACAGAAGAGAAAAAAAAAAAAAGAAAAGAAAAACATTTTCATCACACAGGGGTGCCGTATGGCAGGGAGAAAGTTAGGACGATTCTACACATTAGTGAAACTTGTTAGCAGTGAATTGTGAGTATCGGTGAGGCATCATGTCTCAGCTTCCTAAATATGGCTTCCAAAACCTACCAATGAACCAGCCCTACTCCCCAACCCCATACCCCTACCAATGAACCAGCCCTACTCCCCATTCCCATACCCCTACCAATGAACCAGCCCTGTCTTCCCATCCTTAATTCCCCACCAATGAACCAGCCCTACTCCCCATTCCCATACCCCTACCAATGAACCAGCCCTGTCTTCCCATCCTTAATTCCCCACCAATGAACCAGCCCTGTCTTCCCATCCCCATACCCCTACCAATGAACCAGTTCTGTCTCCTCATCTCCATACCCCTACCAATGAACCAGTTCTGTCTCCTCATCCCCATACCCCTACCAATGAACCAGTTCTGTCTCCTCATCCCCATACCTCTACCAATGAACCAGCCCTGTCTTCCCATCCTTAATTCCCCACCAATGAACCAGCCCTGTCTTCCCATCCCCATACCCTTACCAATGAACCAGTCCTGTCTTCCCATCTCCATACCACTACCAATGAACCAGTCCTGTCTTCCCATCCCCATACCACTACCAATGAACCAGTCCTGTCTCTCCATCCCCATATCCCTACCAATGAACCAGTTCTGTCTCCCCATCCCCATACCCCTACCAATGAACCAGTCCTGTCTTCCCATCTACATACCCCTACCAATGAACCAGTCCTGTCTCTCCATCCCCATACCCCTACCAATGAACCAGTTCTGTCTCCCCATCCCCATACCCCTACCAATGAACCAGTCCTGTCTTCCCATCTCCATACCCCTACCAATGAACCAGTCCTGTCTCTCCATCCCCATACCCCTACCAATGAACCAGTTCTGTCTCCCCATCCCCATACCCCTACCAATGAACCAGTCCTGTCTTCCCATCTCCATACCCCTACCAATGAACCAGTTCTGTCTCCTCGTCTCCATACCCCTACCAATGAACCAGCCCTGTCTCCCCATCCCCATACCCCTACCAATGAACCAGCCCTACTGCCCATCCTCATACCCCTACCAATGAACCAGCCCTACTGCCCGTCCTCATACCCCTACCAGTGAACCAGCCCTGTCTTCCCATCTGCAAACCCCTACCAATGAACAAGTTCTTTCTCCCCATCCCCATACCTCTACCAGTGAACTAGCCCTGTCTCCCCATACCCCTACCAATGAACCAGCCCTGTCTCCCCATCCCCATACCCCTACCAATGAACCAACCCTGTCTCCCCATCCCCATACCCCTACCACTGAATTAACCCTGTCTCCCATCCCCATACCCCTACCACTGAACCAACCCTGTCTCCCCATCCCCATACCCCTACCACTGAATTAACCCTGTCTTTCTATCCCCAAACCCTTACCAATGAACCAGCCCTACGAGTTCTGTTTCCCCATACCTCTACCAATGCACCAGCCCTACTCCCAACTGAAGAAGCAGGTGAGCAGCGATGTGTTGAATGACATGTAAGTTGGCATAATTGCAGGGGGTTTGTGGGATTTTTTTTTTATTATTATCAAATAATATTATGCTGGTGTGGCCTGTAGTGGTGGCGTGGGGGGACCAATGTAATATCTTTTCATGGGGACCAAAATTCCTGGCGGCACTCCTGAGCACCTCATCCCTTTGGAACAAAACTTTGTATCTCCATAATGGTGACTTTACAGGAGAAAGTAAAAAAAGTCTTAACTTTTATTGGAAGTTCACAGAGAAATTATTCGTTCCAATCAATTTTGGAACACTTCTGTTGGTCTATTCATCATGAAATTTTGACACAATGTGAAGGTGTGTGAAAAAAATGAAACAAAAAATGACAAAAATGAAGATGTGAAGCTTTGTTCCAACAGTGACACACACACACACATATATACATAAGAGGTAAAACCAAGTGACAGCATTGGTTCTGCCCACCTTGCTGACGATGAAAAGTTCCTCTCTTTTTACCACTCCTTGGTCAATCATGGCACGGACGCCGGCCCCAACCTCTTCCTCATTCTGATAGACATAAGCCCCATCAATGTGACGGTAACCAACCTGGATGGCCACCTTTACAGCTTCTGTGACCTCTCCTGGGGTGGACTGTGGAGAAACATCACTGACACTTTAACACAATGAGCCATTTAGTTCTAAACTACCACTGGTTTAATGTTGTCTGTTCTCTGACATACTGAGTCTAACTGATCAACTACCAAACCCCTGATTGCATTTGCATGAGTTAAATTGGAGGTAGGTATAAAAGGCAATGAGGTTCCAAGATTCATGCTGAGTTACAGTGATTTAAATGCAAGTAGCTGATAACAAGTGACTGAGAATACTGGAATACACAGGTTCCACTTAACACATTAAGAAAGGGATAAAGGAGAGTCAGAGAAGAGGAGTGAGAGAGGTAGAAAACACTACAACAGTGCAGTCTATGAGAACAACTCCAAGCACTTTGCATTTGTTGCTGTAAAAGTACTCTCAAGCAAAAGCAGGCCGTGTTTCAGTATCACAATCATTACAATTTTAAAGTCTCTTACCTTCCATGTTCCCAGACCTATAATGGGCATTCGTGCTCCAGTATTGAGAGTGAGAGCAGATGCCATGATGGAACAATGTTTGTTTGGTTTTTTTTTTTACCTAGACGTACTAGATAGTGAAGTGGCTTTCAGTAGGAGTTTCTCTGCTTTTAACACTGTGGCAGCTCCCCAGATAAAAGGCCAGTGTCAGGATTTGATTGGTCATGTATAGAGTCCACCCATTAGCTGCTGGAGCTTGGAGCCAAGTGGGTAGAGTTAGCAGCCAGTCCAGCTCCAAAAGACTCCAGCCGCAATAAAATGCAATCGAAATGTAGAACTCCAGTTCTGTGCAGGAGCCAATGGCATCACATCTGGCAACTAGCTGTCAAAATAAAAGGTCTGCAGTGCTGTGAGGCTCTCCTGGTTTAACTGTTACCTTCCACTGTTCAAAAACACAGCACAGTTCCTGTCCACCAAATTTTTATAATTTTGCTAAAGCCAACTTATTTTTCAAACCCAGATAATACAATTATGCTGAATCATGTTCATTTCTCCATTGCCTAATGCATCAAATTAGTGTTGATCTCTAGTGTCAGAGTTGATAATTGGAATTAAAAATGCAAGGTAGACATTTTGAATGATGCTCAAAGGGGACACCCCCCCACCCCCAAATTGAGCCCAGTACTGCCCTGTAGTGTTTCAAGTGGTAGTCAGTTCTCAAAGTAGTGGATCTCTCATACCCACTCACCTACTGCTTGACCACCACTAAGATGAAAGGTGAAAAGCAGCACCTTTCTTACCTCAATGTGTATAAAGGCCATTCAATCTACTGACCATAAAACCATAAACAGTAATAAATATGAAAAAGTGCATGCACACTGTATGGGAGATGGAGCTCATTGTGAAGCCTAATCACTCACCAGCCAATGTGCACATCATAATGCTGTCCATAAAAAAGCAGCAGGAAATAGTACCATATTTCCATATATTCTTGATCAATGGGGACAAACCTGCACTCCACCAGAAAAGAAGTTTACTATCCAGTGATGGTTCTATATGAACAGAAACATGTGGACAGAGTCGTTTTCACTGTAGTACATTATGCAGTTTTCTGTATTAGCCATGTTAATAACAGTATAAATGTTGCACTTCAGTGGTGAAAAAGTAGTACTGCAGCTACAAAACTAAATATATCACAACAAGTACAACACAAGTCTGTTAACTATTTAATTGAAAGATAAACAAAAAACACAATGCAAACAAATAGCATTACTCACCTGCAAAAAGAACACATATAAACAGAGGCATCACTAGGGATTTATGGATGGGGTGGGTTGCATGCAGATCGCTGACATGTTTGGTTCTCCTTGTCCATGGAGGACAAGGGAGGCTGGGTTTCGGTTCTGGGTAGCTCAGGAACCAGTGCTTAAACACTAGTGAACAGAGGGTGGGCGCTGTTCCCACCAGTTGAGAGTCTTCTCTTTTTCTCTTGGGGGGAGGAAAACTCCAATGGGCTGGCATGGCCCCTAGGGGGGCAGCTGTGTGGACCACATGGGGACAGTGGACGTGGTGCTGCTTTCCTGGGTAGGCATAGCTTAAAAGATTCATCCTCCTTCCATGTGTCAACACAGCTGTGATGCATAACGGCTGCAGTCAGGTCAAAAAGAGCCTGGACTGATTCCATGGGGGTCCCTGCAACGCATCACTTCTCATTGTCAGGGAGGAAAGATTAAGCCAATCTCCTTCCATAAGGCAGGAGAGGGAGAAACCTTTTCCAAACGCTTTCCCATTTCCTCCATAACCCAGCCACCAGGCACAGGGCCAGAGGAGCCAGGGCTGAGGCAAGGGTGCTGCAGAATATGGGTTTCATGCATAGCACATGGAACATGGGGTTGATATGCATAGAGTGCAGGAGAAACAAAAGGTACAAGACCAGGTTGACTCTACAAATGACCTTCAAGGGGCCCCATGTAGCATGTGGCCAACTTCTGGGATTCCACATGGAGGGGTAAGTCCTTAGTGGAGAGCCAGACCCACTGTCCTGGTCGAAAGGTGAGCTTGGGTTGCTGCCTCTGGTCTGCTGCTCGCTTTTGGACAGCAGAGGCAGTCCAGAGAGCAGCTTGGGCTTTCTGCCAGGAGAAGGCATTGGGTTTGGCATTCTTTGAGCCAGGTCAATATGACAAAATGCAAAAAAGAACTCCCACCTGGCCTGACGGGAAATTACATCATAATTTCGCTCCATGGGTGTCAGGCGATGTGAAAAGAAGGTGCAGAAATGTAACTACTGGGCAGAGCCAGTATGCTGAGATAACACTACCCCTACACCTATGTTGAAAGCATCAGCTTCCACCAGGAATGAAAGTTCAGGGTCTGGATCCTGTAAGACTAGAGCCATAGACATCTGATGCTTAAGCTCTTCCGAGTTGCGGTCATCCATTGAAACCACCCCATGTGCTTTTTGTGAGAGTGGTTAAAGGAGCGAACATGGTGCTAAAATTTTGGATAAAATGTTAGAAAAAATCAGCAAAGCCCAGAAGGCGCTGAACCAGTCAGAGCGACCGTCTTAATCTGATCTGTGCTCAGTCGGATCTTGGATATCATAAATCTAAGGACAGTGACAAACGGAACATAGAACAGGGATTTCTCTATGTTTATGTAGAGATGATTCTCCAGGAGTAGCTGGAGAATCCTCCTTACATGAGCTACATGTTCATCTAGGGAACCATTATAGATGAGAATGTCATCCAGATAGATGAACACATAACAATCTAGAGCTTCCCTCAAGATCTCATTGATGTAGCGTTGGAAGATGGCCGGGGCATTCATCAGTCCAAAGGGCATAACTTGGTACTCGTAGTGACCTGATGGGGTGATGAAGGCCTCTGATCTTCCTCTGATCACCTTCCCTAATCTGGATAAGGTTGAAGGTGCTGAGCAGATCCAGTGTAGTTAAAACCAAAGCCTGTTGCAGCATCTCAAAGGCTGAGGTCATGAGGGGCAGGTGGTAACGGTCTTTTACCGTGGATGGGGTGGATTTGGCCCCCAGATCGAACAGCATGTAATACACTTAAAGGGGAAATACATTTTTCCAAATTTATGCATAATTAAATGGTTAAGATGTAAACAAAGTCATTCAGAGTGGTTTGGTGTGAAACGCTTTGTTCTAGAGAAACTTACTGAGTCAGAATTTTTCCCAATATTGGTGAAAGGAACCAGATGTCCACCTCTAAATGCTCCCCCACAGTTATTGGAAGAAATACGCTGCTTGATGTCTGAGACATTGTGTTACGATAATTCTGACTTAAGCTTTTGGTCTAAAACATATTTTTTAATATAAATACTTGGAGTAATGTAGGAATGTCAGAATATCTCACAACACTTTTACTTTTAATACTCAGGCACAATAAAAAGCAAGTACCTCTGTACTTTAAAGGCCCCATATCATGGAAAACTGAATTTTCCTCACTTTTTAAAAATAAAAGAGTTAAATGTAGTGTGTAAACATTGTTAAAGTGTCAAACTGCTCCCCAGTCCATACAGTCATATATGGAAACAAAGCTACAAAAACAGCCCATTTTAAATTCACTGTTTTTGTGATGCCATAAAAAACAACACATTCACATATATCTGAGTATTCAGCCTGTTTAGCCCCGCTTATTCAGGCTGAAGTTACAAGGAGAGTTTCAGCTTTTTGAATGATGTATAATACAGGACAGTCAATCGAGACATGGCTCAATTACATATATCACACATAAATTTGATATATTTTCATGTCTTAAAAGCACAGCAACCAAAAAGCCTGTTTAATTTAGGAATAAAGAGATTGGAAAATGGTCAGGTAAATATGATTATGACTGGTTTTGGTACATAAAACAACACAAATGTTACAAAATTCAGACAAAATGTAGGATATGGGTGTTTGAACGGACGTAAAAAAAATAAATAGAGCACTTATACTTTAATTCAGCTACTATTTTACAAAGGGTATCACTCAAGTACACTCAAGTACAGTATTTGTGTATTTTATTTACCTCTGAATGGGACTGGATTACAAGACAATTTCCTTATAAGTTGGAGGTGGCGAGGTCGTTTTGACACTATAGCAGGAGCGGAGCGAGAGATCGACGCTGTACTCTCAGGGTTTCATAAAGACATTTTCTCCACTAACGGTCATTCTCAGGGTGAAGTGTGTGACGGTGGAATGATCTTCAGGTCTGAAAACAGACGGTAAGGCTGTGGCTGTTCCTGCAGTGAACCACAGCTTCATCAGTCAATGCTACACAAGATAACAACCAGCCACATGTTATTTGTGGATGGCTGTGGCAGCAAAACCAATAGAAAAAGTTGTTTACAGCGCATGAAGCATTGCAGAGTTCATGTCACTGGCTTCTCTGTCCATAGAACAAGGCTGTTCAGGAGCTAAAGACACAACTGGATCCAAATACAACATTACTGAGTAAGATTTTAATAATGTACAAAGCGAGAATGACAGACTTGCAGTCCCCCTGACAAAGTACTGGTACCGTGCGCCAGTCTTGCATGATTTAATTGCATGTTTTCACAATACAAGTCATTAAAGTCTTTGTCAAACAAAATCCACAGAACTCGTTTGGATAATTTTCGTATTTTTATTCAGAACTAAATTTTCTATTGGTTTTGTAAAACATAAGTGGTCTTATTTGACCAAAAGACTAGATTTAATATAATATAAAACATTAAAGTGCAAAATAAAACAAAACATGACTTTTTAAAGGTTCCAGTGTAAGGGCTTACTAAATATTACAAGACTTGAAATCGAGAACAGGTATTTTCTGAGAGTCTAATTATATCATGTAGAAAATTTTAGTTACTTTTTTTTCTATTAATCACACTAACAAAAATATTAATGTCGCACTCCAGTGATGAAAACGTAGTATTGCAGCTACAAAACTAAATATGTCACAGCAAATACAACAGAGTCTGTTAACTATTCAGCAGGGCCGCTGGCCATGAGACTCAATTCGGTGTTAGAAACATACGTTTTATTATTTGTGTGTAGTTAATTTGTGTTTTTGGCTTATTCAATCATAAAACTTTAACATTGAAAAAATATGAGCATTTTGGGTGGGGCAATGGTTAAAGTGGGTATCCCACCTCAACCGTCCCACCTTCTGGTTACCGTTAACTCTTTTCAACTGGTCTATATTATCTGTAACGAGACTGTATTCTGTCCTTAATAGAGCAGGTTGACCAGTTCAGTGGGGAGCCGACAACAACTGACCAGTGCTGAACAAAAGCTAAACTTACCAGCTTTCAGTCTTTGCTGCTCTGAAAGCTGAAATGCTGTCACTCTTCATTGTCACTTAACTGCATTTACATATTGCCATATTATATTTGAGCAAAAATGACTGGTTTTATATTAAATTGAATATGTAGCGTTAATGTGGAAACATTTTTTGGGGTAATGTTTGAGATGGAATTTCAGTGGCTGCAAACATTTAAAAGTAGTTGCATTCTTAAAAAAATATGTGTTGTTTGATTTGCTCAGTAAATGCAGTGCTTCCATGTAGAATCAAGAAATATTTGAGAAAATAGTTTTATACTATTAAGAGAAGACGCTCGCTTACAGACACAAAACACTGAGAGACGTTTCACACAGAGACTTGGTTCAGTCTTTGTTAAGAAATGACAGTTTCAGGAATGAGTGATTAATAAAATCAACTGATTTCCTGGTTTATGAATTGTTTGGGCTTGACTTCAGTTCAGGCCGGGCAGGCGAGGAGCTCAGTACTCTGCGTTCAGTGGGTAGTCCTTGTGGTTAGAAGCCCTAAATGAAAGGATAAAAATGCCACTGAGTTATAAACTGATCAAAAATATATAAATAAATAAAAAACAGCTACACATATTCTCAGTATCTCTTAACTCACCAATCCATTGGAATTATTTTCCAGTTCCTGTTGAAGCTCATAATGGTGTTCATATCTTCTTTACTCATCTTAAAATCAAAGACCTGAATCAAAAAGAAAACAGCAATATAATAATATGTTCCTTCATTATGAGGAGATTTACATGCAGTAACATACAGTACACAATCCAGTAAGATCACCTGGAAATCTTCTTTGATTCTTTCCGGATTGACAGATTTGGGAACAACTGCAACATTCCTATCAATGTGGAACTGGATTAGGATCTGGTGATAAAGCATATCATGACACGACCCTCTCAGCATGTAATGTAAACCGTCTTTCTACACTCATGATGATGTCATAACGACACACACAGGTACCTGCGCTGCTGTTTTCTTATATTTATCAGCGATGGCTCTGATCTTTGGGTCCTCCAGGAGGGACGGATCACCTGACTTTGCCCTGTAAGAAGAGATCGATCAGTAGAGTTAACGGGGTCGGTTCAGTTCTGCAGTGATGGGTGGGTCAATTGATTACGCAAAGGGGAATTCCGCTGTTTTTTTTCAAAATTCTGCATAATTAGATTGTTTAGATGTAAACAGACTGATTCAGAATGGTTGTATATTAAATGGTTGTAGAGACTCAGCTGTCTTTACAGTGGTGGTGATAGGAACCAGGGGTCACCATGACTACAACACAAATATAGACATTTTCTATACAAACAGAGTCTTCTGAGTTTATATTGATGTCGAAGGAGGAGTCATGGGCTGGAGGTTAGGGAGCCATCTTTGCGACTGGAAGGTCGCCGGTTCGATCCCCTGAGCCGACAGTACGTGGCTGAAGTGCCCTTGAGCAAGACACCTAACCCCCAACTGCTCCCCGGGTGCAGCGGATAAGGCTGCCCACCACTCCGGGCAAGTGTGCTCACTGACCCACAGTGTGTGTTCACTAGTGTGTATGTGGTGTTTCACTGCACAGATGGGTTAAATGTGGAGGTGAAATTTCCCCATTGTGGGACTAATAAGGGTCATTTAATCTAATGATGGTTGTTTATGCTGCTGAATTTATGCCAGTAGGTTTTAGGCCAAAATCTTATCTTACAATGTCTTCATCATCAGGCAACATATTCATAGGCATTTTATGTAATAACTTACTGTAGTCCTTTAGAGGCATTAGAATCAGTAAGGATCTTCAGAAGGGAGCATTTCACAACCACTCTGAATGACTTTGTTATTAACTGAATTATAAAGAAATTATAAAAGAGGAAAATAAAGAGGAGTTCCCTTGTGTGAGAATGAAACTGATAGCCATGCGTTGTTTTATAAGTAGAAACTTAAATCAGTGCAGAACCTCATATTCATGTGTTAGAGAGGATGATGTTTGATTACTCTGCCCTGTTAGAGAGTGACCCTCTGTACTGATTAGCTGAGACTTGAAAAAAAAAAAGAAAAGATGGAGAGAGGAGTGAGGGCTGTTGTTGTGACTGTGTCCGAACGATATAAAAGTATTAAGAAAGAACTCATTTGTGTGCTTGAGTTTAGTTCATCCACGCCAACGCTACCAACACTCCAAGCCAAAACCTCATATATTACACATGTAAGGATTAAAGGGTTTGAGTGCATTTGACTGAGTGGAAATAGCTTCACCCAACCCTGGCGGCATCTGGTAAAAGTTTAAATTTTTGCCCACCATGGTCTGTCAGGGGCCCCCAGAGGGCTGTACGCAGTCACTGTGATGCCCTTAGAGTGACAGAAGTTGATCATCTTCTCCTGCGTCAGGTAGGGATGGCACTCAATCTGGAGTAGGAGATAAAAACATCAGCTATTTTCATTTATTTTACCAAAATGATTATTGAATAGGTGTAACTGTGCATCATGGAGAATGGACTTTCGATTCATTAGGCTATCTAATACGACTGCATTGTTTCAACAACGATCAGAACCACGCTACACCTCACTCCAGCTCTCCTCCTGCCTCCCAGCTTTGGTATTGCTAGTAATCATTATTACAGTCACAATATTTCTTCACTCAGATTTAGTTTGAAATATTGTTATAATATAGAATGTGAATCTAATCAAATTGCAGGCTGAGTGTATCGTTACTCCTCTATTACTGAATGATAAAGTAAGAAATACAGATTGGAAAATGCTACCTGGTGGTTGGCAGGTTTGTACTTGAGGCCTGGCTTGTTCAGGATGGCTTCAATCTGGCTTCGGTT